CCAATTTCAACATATTCTAAACATTTTACTTTCTTGAGTGATATAAAACGTTGCCACGGCCTATGATTGACTGAACCATTTACAGTTATAACTGGAGCTAATGTCGGAGGGATCTTGCCACACACCTGTATCTTTTGCGATCAGATATCAGGTGTAGTTGGGGGAAATGTGTAACAGCCTTTAGATCTGCCATTTGTTCAGGCTGTTTGCAATCCAAGATAGTTGCCTCGGCCTCTGAATTGCTGAGGTTTATTTGCATGGGATTTGTGTTTGACAGAGTTTGTCAAAACTCTCATGACTGCGAGACACTGGAGATTTTTTTTCCAGGTAATTTCACATTCTTCAAAGATGGGTGTCTGTGCTCTGATTTACTGAAAAATTTGAAAGGTCGTCCACCTTCCAGTCCTTGCATATGTATAGTCATAAACTTGATATATATATCTACAAATAATGCTCTCACGGTCCACGGTCATTTTCAACAAGTTAGTTTTGAACCAAAATTGTCCCAGTCCAGGGGTGTGCACCTGCCAACTTTCCCTATTTTGGAACAAAAAAAATAAAAAAAAATAAACCAGTGAATTTGCTTAACTGTTTCTATTTTCTGAGATCTGATGATTTCATATAAAATACAGCTACTTACCATCCTGACTGAGATTTATGAAACCTGGTAACACATGATGTAAGTTAAATAACCTTACAGGTTGTACGATTTTGAAATATATTTAATTTCAACAATTTGTAAAGGAATTATGCACCTTTCTGATTATTTTATGTGGAACCAGGGGGTCTAATAAATAGGTAAACCTGTTGCTAACAGTTCTAGTTGTACAGCGACTAAGTGTATAAACATGCAAATGATCCAAAATTTCAGTTGATATCAATTGAAAACCTCAAACACTAACACTGGTGATTGAAACCAAGGTACATTACCACAATTTAATCTCTAAGTGATTAGTTGTGGCAATCAATTGCAGCAAGATGATTATGATAATGATAATTGTGCCTGTAAGATAATTGATTTTACCACGCGCTGTGAATTACCCTTTGTAATATTGAATCAATATGATGCTGAAACATAGCATCACAAAGGTTTAGAGCTAAATTGTTTCATTCTCAAACAGTCTTGATAGAAATTATAAATAATATCATAGCAGAACTGGACTGGTTTAATTGCCTGTGACCAGGTAGCTCAATTGGTAGAGTGTGTTCGAACCCCAGTCTGGCTATGCATTTTCCATCTCCTGTTGCAATAAAGATAGCTATCAGGGATATCTTTCAGAATTCTTTTCCTGACTAATGATGAAGAATAGGGTCAGAATATAATAATAATAAAGGCTTTATTAATTATTAGGTTACCTGACCAAAGGTCATGGTAACCTATTGTGATAGCCTTTTGTTCGTCGTCGTGCGTTAACTTTTCCTTGTGAACACGATAACTTCAGTAAATGTTAACCGAATTTAATGAAACTTTGTATGCAGCCATATCTCAATAAGATCTCGAACGAGTTTGAAAATGGGAATTATTCAACGGTAACTTACAAGGTTATTGCCCTTTGTAATAATATTATTATTGGACCTTGTGAACACGAGAACTTGAGTAAATGTTAACCGAGTTTGATGAAACTTTTTATGCAGCCATATATCAATAAGATCTCGGACAACTTCGAAAATGGGAATTATTCGACGGTAACTTACAGAGTTATTGCCCTTTGTAATATTACTATTATTGGACCTTTTGAACACGATTACTTGAGTAAATGTTAACCGGGTTTGATGAAACTTTGTATGCAGCCATATATCAAAAAGATGTCGGACGAGTTCGAAAATGGGAATTATTCAACTGTAACTTACAGAGTTATTGCCCTTTGTAATAATATTATTATTGGACCTTGTGAACACGAGAACTTGAGTAAATGTTAACCAAGTTTGATGAAACTTTGTATGCGACCTTATATCAATCAGGTCTCGGATGAGTTGGTAAATGGGAATTATTCGACAGTAACTTACAGAGTTATTGCCATTTGTAATAATATTATTATTGTACGTTGTAAACACGATAACTTGAATAAATGTTGACGGAGTTCAATGAAACTTTGTCCGGTAATTATTTGACTGTAACCTTCAGAGTTATTGCCCTTTGTCATTATATTATTATTTGTCCCTGTGATGTTGATTGACATTACACAAGAATAGATGTAAATTCATGTGGTACACCTTTTTTTTCATTCATGATGCATTTTTGCTACTAACAAGGTTCTATTAAAATTTTGTGCCTTATTTAATAAATCATTGATTTACGCTTTTACTTGTTTCTTTTAACCAAGAACAGAAGACATACAGTTACCAAGTTTGTTCAAAACAGACCCCTTGGGTCAAAATTGGAGTCGCACCCATTTATTTCAGTTATCGTGTTCACAGGGTCCAACAATAATAGAATTACCAAGGGGAATAACTATGTAAGTTATAGTCAAATTGGTCCGGTATTCAAACTCATCCAAGATCTCATTGATACAAAGCTGCATACAAAGTTTCATCAAAATCGGTTCATATTTACTGAAGTTATTGTGTTCACAAGGAAAAATTAATTGACAATGCAGCAAGGTCACTCGGACCGACGAAAAGTATGAATTGGCCCCTGGATGGCAGTCCTAATTTGAATCGGATGTCAGATGACCGTTAAGGCCCATGGGCCTCTTTTTTATTCTTGATAACATATTGAGCATGAAGCTCATCTTACACATGGTCAAGATACAATATATGATAAAATGTACAATATTTACAGCTTTAAGAAATATACATGTATAAAATACAGGATAAGGGAGGAAATCATAAATCATTTCAATTAAAATTGCTTTGCAGATCTCTTAAATTCTAAAAATGAAGTACAATTTATAATGTGACTTGGTAAAAGATTCCATGTAAGGGGTCCCTGATATCTAAAAGATTTCCTAAAAATGTTTGTCTTATGACATGGCAAGTAAAACACATTACAGTAGATGATGATCTTGTAGTTCTACCCTGAACATCAGACATATGCGTAAAATCATTCAAATTTTGTGGAGCTAAATTATTAAGTATCTTGTACATAAAAACTACTTGATTGTATAAAATTCTTTTGTGAAAAGGTAACCAATTTAGTTTTTTGAACATATCACAGGAAGGTGTGGAAAAATCACATTTTAAAATAATTCTGGCTGCTCTCTTTTGCAGGCGTTCTAATTTTACAATATTATTTTTTTCAACTGTTACTCCAAACAGTTGAGCAATAATCCAGATGTGGGTTAACAAAGCAGTTAAATAAGGTCATACAAGATGACTGGCTCAAGAAGGGTCTCCACTTTTTCATCCGAAAAATCTGACATATCTTTTTACAGACAGTTGTAAATTGATTGAATGATCCAAGAGAGACAATCATCTATGGACACTCCCAAAAGTTTTTCACGTTTTACATTTTCAATGTTAATATTGTTGATAACAACGGACAATTCTTCTGTTAATTTTCATTTTTTCTGTGAAGTAGTAACAAGCATGACTTTTGTTTTTTCTGTGTTTACACACATTTTGTTTTCATCGCACCATTTTGACACTAATTTTGCATCAGCATTGAGGTTAGTATTTACAATGTTGAGTGATTTCCCTTGTGATTGCACTGCGGTGTCATCAGCATACATATACAAAGAACTTTGATTTGTAATCAGGGGCAGGTCATTTACATATAAAATGAACAAAAGTGGCCCTAATATTGACCCTTGAGGGAAACCGACTGTAAGAGGGAGAGAATCACTCAGATTGTTCTTAAAGTGGTTCACAAGGTCGAATGCCTTTCGAAAATCAAGAAATAGAACACCTGTCAAAATACCTTTGTCTATAGCCTAATACCAGGTGTTTGTGATATTGGTTAGCGAGTGTTTTGCTCTGAAGCCAGATTGGCTATCTGTAATCAAATTGTGGTCAGACAAAAATTTATAAAAATGGTCATGAATATGTTTTTCTAGACATTTTGATAAAACAGGAAGTACTGATATTGGTCTGTAGTTACATAAAAGCTCTAATTTTTACCCTTTTTAAAAAGAGGGCTTACTTTCGCATACTTCCAAACTTCCGAAAAACTGTTTGTGTCAATACTAAAATTCATTAGAATACATTAGATTGCTATGGTTCGGTACCACAAATTTCATACCAGAAAGTATATCATTTCTGTATCCCTGTAATGGCCCCATTAGCTACATAATGACCGATTCTCTTTCACTGACGGGACCTTGAGTCTTATGTATAAGAAGATGGAATAGTCTTTTACCTTAATCTGGAAAGGCACATATCATGTCATATGTGATGGTCTTGCTGTGGAATTTTCGAGAGTGAAAGTCAGCGTATATTTTCTGAAGTCACATTTGTAACATTTAAGAAATTACATCACCTTTTTAAATCAAATTACATCATATAATAGCTGGGTGCTTAGCATACAAAGCATTATGTTTCACAGAAAAGTTTCCTTTTAAAGGGTTTGAGAAAATTCCTCATTTCCAACTTTGCACAAGTATCGTTACCCCATCAGGGGTGAATTGGCAAATGTCACCCTTCAGATCGAGATTTGCCTACTATATATACCCTGAAGAGGGTTAAATCTATTCTATTAATCTCACATGGATGTCCAACTTGAGTTGACCTGTGTATCTTGCATACAGATGTGGACTAATTATAATCTCCTTCATTGTGCTTATTTTGTTCATACCAATGACTTTTAGTTGATATGTGATTGTGGTGTTTAAGCTTTAGCAGCAAAATAGATGGGAAAGCGGACAAGCATGCTGAAAGTTTTTATCCTCCAATAATCTCTTGCTCAAAAATAGGGAGGTCGGCTTATAGGACAATTAAAAAGTATTTGCTTGCATTTTTACCAAACTGCATTATTTATTGGTGGGCTTATTATAATTACCAGGCATGGGCTTATCACTGGATAAATTTGATAAGTAACATGAAATATATCCACATATATTCAGATGAGAGGATACTGACTGAGAATAATAGTCAAACCCAGGATTCATACAGACCAGACCTGTCAACATCTTGGACACACAAAGAACCATTGCCACGACAACACTCAATGGAGCTGCAGCAGTCTAACTCGCGGCAGATGGCATCCAACGACGAACGTAAGATTTGAGTAGATGTCTTCCCCAAAACTCAAACACTGTTGGTTTCTTGCGTCACTTTGCCAGTCACAGTTGCATTGCTGTTTATTCAACAACACTGACTGGGCTAGATGAAATATTCATGATTCCTTTTCCTGGAGATTTTAGACAAGTTCACATTTTGGCAAGGTCAATGTCATTGTTACTATTTTTAGAAAAGCCTTGTGATATCAAGGGGTTTGTAATGTACACAATGCCTAGAATGACAATTTTTTAAGTTTTTCCTTTTAACAGTTTACTGAAAAATAATACATTGTTTTGCAAGTGACCTCTGTGCACCTTGAGTTTTTGTGTGTAGATTCATCAAATGTGTGATGGTGATTGCTTTTAATATTGAGTATCAGCTTTTCTATCAGTTTTGAACCATTATTATTTTGTGTATACGAAGTGTTCAGTTGCTGGATTTAACCCATTAATCTTTTTCCATAGGAGCACAGAAATGTTATTCTTGAATAAGTGAAAAACACATGAGACATCTTATAAAAATAGAAAAAATTACCTTAATTAATTGGAAAATAGATGATACTAAAATTATATCTTGGTATGGAAGTAGGTTGGTTTTCTGACATATTATTAACGGCAAACAGTGGTCATAAAAATGATGATTAGTATAAATGAAAATACAATCCATGAATTCGCTAACAAAAATGGATTTAATTAGAATAGCATACAATATTTTTAAAGTGTACAAATTGGTTATTGATTTCTATATGTGCTATAGAAAACCAAGGCGTAGAACAGTGATACATGTAGGTGACTTCACCGCCAGGCAGTTATCCTTCAGGTATACCACATGTATGTAACTAGAATTAAAACTGTTATACAAACCCTACCATGACAACGCAGACTGGGGCTCACACCAGCAACCAGTTAACATTGAAATGTATTAATCTATAAAGACACGTTGTATATGTGGATTGTGCGCGATGACGTTTCAATAACACACTTCCTGTGAAGTATACTGAGTAGCTGTAACATTGGAATATATACAGCAAAACCGCAGGATTTCACGCTACATGTACTGATATTGTACCACAATGGAACAAATAAAAAAATGACTACAAGTTTGGAGACATCGGAAAAGAATTTGTTTGCTGTTTTCCATTGAGCGAGCATTATATTAGATGACTAAATGACTAATGATGGTCTTAAACAGAATCTTGAATTTTCTTTGAAGAGACAAACAGTTATCTGATGCCAAGATTTTGAATTTCTGTTCTATTGATGCTTCATCATGTCCCTGTTGTCACAATCATGTGACCAGTTCTCTAAGTTGATTACCCAATTGTCACAATCATGTGACCTGTTCTCTAAGTTGATGAGCCTGTTGTCACAATCATGTGACTAGTTCTCTAAGTTGATTAGCCAATTGTCACAATCATGTGACCAGTTCTCTAAGTTGATTAGCCAATTGTCACAATCATGTGACCAGTTCTCTAAGTTGATGAGCATGTTGTCACAATAATGTGACCTGTTCTCTAAGTTGATGAGCCTGTTGTCACAATCATGTGACTAGTTCTCTAAGTTAATTAACCAATTGTCACAATCATATGATCAGTTCTCTAAGTTGATGAGCATGTTGTCACAATAATGTGACAAGATCTCTTAAGTTGATGTGCATGTTGTCACAATCATGTGACCAGTTCTCTAAGTTGATGAGCCTGTTGTCACAATCATGTGACTAGTTCTCTAACTTAATTAGCCTGTTGTCACAATCATGTGACTAGTTCTCTAACTTAATTAGCCTGTTGTCACAATCATATGACCAGCTATCTAAGTTGATAAGCCAGTTGTCACATTCATGTGACCAATTATAAAAGTTAATTAGCCTGTTGTCACAATCATGTGACAAGATTTCTAGGTTGATGGGCCTATTGTCACAATAATGTGACCAGGTCTCTTTGTTAATTAGCCTGTTTTCACATTCATGTGAACAGGTCTCTTTGTTACTTAGTCTGTTGTCACATTTATGTGAACAGGTCTCTTTGTTAATTATCCTGTTGTCACAATCATATGACCAGCTATCTAAGTTGATAAGCCAGTTGTCACATTCATGTGACCAGGTCTCTACGTTTATTAGCCTGTTGTCACAATAATGTGACCAGCTATTTAAGTTAATTATCCTGTTGTCACAATCATGTGACAAGATTTCTAGGTTGATGAGCCTATTGTCACAATAATGTGACCAGGTCTCTTTGTTAATTAGCCTGTTGTCACATTCATGTGAACAGGTCTCTTTGTTACTTAGTCTGTTGTCACATTTATGTGAACAGGTCTCTTTGTTAATTATCCTGTTGTCACATTCATGTGACCAGGTCTCTACGTTTATTAGCCTGTTGTCACATTATGTGACCAGGTCTCTTTGTTAATTAGCCTGTTGTCACATTCATGTGACCAGGTCTCTACGTTTATTAGCCTGTTGTCACAATAATGTGACTAGTTCCCTAAGTTGAAGAGCCTGTTGTCACAATAATGTGACCAGGTCTCTACGTTAATTAGCCTGTTGTCATAATCATGTGACCAGATCTCTAAGCAGCTCTGACTAGCTCGTCATGTCAAGCATTTGACGAGTTAATGTGTCATTCTCCTGTGTGTATGGAATGATATTTCCAATTGGAGGCTTTATAAGATTATACCGGAGTGGCCTTGTCGCCAATCGACACCATCATCACGACATTGTCTGGAACTTAATTACTTGGTGAATTAAAGTTATTTTATGAAGACATATAATTATAACACTGAGTAAAATGTGGTATATGCGCTTACAGTCAATTTCAATTTAGGTATATGTTAATTTTACTTTCCCAAATCTAGACCAATTAAGCACACACTTAAATATATCTGGGAATGATGCTTCATATGTTACATAGTGCTTTGAAAAAAAATAAAGTTTTGGAAATATTAAATATGGAAATTTAAGTAAGCTGTGACATGACCTGTTTGAAGTGACATCCCAAGCCGCCATGATGAGCCTTTCTCACTTATTGTATTTATGGTAATTAAAAGATGTTAATGTATGTCTTTCATCAGGATATTTGCACCAGCTGTTATAACACATTAACACTAATTAATTGGTATGTTTTTGTAAGCAAGTAAACGTTTTATGTAAAATGTAGCTAAAATGTATTGATGAACATGCCGATATGCGCACACGTGTGTGTTATGTGTAATCAGATAATTCAAAGAAAACAAACAACAAAATACACATTTTACGTAGTTTCTTCTTGGTTTTTGATATCATTTTACATCAATGACTAAAAATCATAATAAGTATATTTAAAAAAAAATTCAGAGATCGATTTTCGGAGCATGAACATCGTTTTTTTTCCAGATTTTTTGGGTGCGCAAAATATTTGAGAAGAAGCTTTTTTGGGGATTTTCAGCCTCAAAAAGTACCTGCGCAAATTACATAGGTGCGCAAATTACATAGGAGCGCAAATTACATAGGTGCACAAATTACATAGGCGCGCAAATTACATAGGTGCGCAAATTACATAGGGGCGCAAATTACATAGGTGCACAAATTACATAGGAGCGCAAATTACATAGGTGCACAAATTACATAGGTGCACAAATTACATAGGTGCGCAAATTACATAGGTGCGCAAATTACATAGGTGCACAAATTACACAAGTTTTTACGGTATAGTCTTTTTTGTCTTTCCAAAGTAGAACAATGTAAAGTTCACCTGGGTCGCTCTTCAAACTGATATTTTAGAAACAAATCGTCACTTTCACACACATGTCGCACATGGATCGAAAGATCTATTCTTTATGCACTCTAGGTGGTATCAATAACATGTTTCAAAGATCATTATGAACTGTATTTTCCAACGTTTTCTATACCAACCCATGTTTTTAATGGAAATTAGGGCATGAGCAATGTCACATGACTTGACGAGATCTCGCGTTACCGAAGGTATTTCCCAACGTTATAACATAAGTCGACAAGATTTTAGTCACGTGGCAATAGAAGGTAGGGCTATCAAAAACGTAAACTAAAACAGAGTAAGTTTGAAAAAATATGCATTTAGTGATTGTATTGGTTGTTTGAGGCATGTAATTTATGTTCATCTTGTGCATAAAGAATAGATCGCCATTGCTCTCCCAGCTAAGTTTGTACAGTACTGTGTACTGGGAAATCGCCATTGCTCTCCCCATCAGCTAAGTTTATACAGTGCTGTGTACTGAGAAATCGCCATTGCTCTCCCCATCAGCTAAGTTTATATAGTGCTGTGTACTGGGAAATTACCATTGCTCTCCCCAACAGCTAAGTTTATACAGTACTGTGTACTGGGAAATCGCCATTGCTCTCCCCAACAGCTAAGTTTATACAGTGCTGTGTACTGGGAAATCGCCATTGCTCTCCACATCAGCTAAGTTTATACAGTGCTGTGTACTGGGAAATTACCATTGCTCTCCCCAACAGCTAAGTTTATACAGTATGTGTGTACTGGGAAATTTCGCTGTAGTTCAACTTCTGCCCTTTTCGCCCTCCCCAATGAGCGCAAATAAATCATGACAGCAAAAAATTATTACACAGCATACAATGTATTGAATTTAAATGAGAGGGGTGAAATTAACACTGGTCGAGTGTCATCTTGATTAAATGTCGTAGATTTGACACTAACATGACATCCGACCTGGTCATATTATTTTGACAACAGGGTAATCGAAGGTGGTGAGAAATGCCTCACTAAACATCACAGCTTATTGGACACTAAACACAACATTCCGCCTGGTCAGCAGGATAGCTAGCAAAGTTAGCAATATGAAGGTAGGAAGGCGTCGGTAAAAACTCCAGATTATGGGGTTGACTTAACATTTGCTGCCTCTTGTAATGACACATGTACAGTGGGATACAGGTCGAACACCTACACCAACACATTAAGGTCGAACACCTACACCAACACATTCAGGTCTAACACCTACACCAACACATTCAGTTATAAAACCTACAC